CAAAACCCTTAGGGACGTGGCACTGATAAGTTGGGGGCAAATAGGTGGGCGTATTACCCCATTAATATAATCCATGTCTTTAGCTGTGTGCAGATTCAACAAAATTGGTGCATCTGCATTTACTGTGTGCAGGTTTGCGTTTGTTATAAATGCCTTTGCATCGTAGTTCTTTAGCTTTTTATAAGTCCACTAGTCCATTTTGAATAAACAAGGCTGCCTTGTTTATGGGTCAGTATTTGTGTGTGCTATTCGCACACACACACACACATTCATGTCCTACCAGCAATTTCTTTGCCTAAGCTTTTTCTACTTTGATCAGTGTAGGAGGAAGCCTGTTTCCTGAATTCCTTTTCTTTTCAAAGAGTCTGGTGTTTTATCCCCCAACTGGTCAATTCCAGTTGTAGAGTCCTCACAGGGTTTTGTTTTTTTTTGCCCTCCCCTTCCCCACATTCCTTTTATCCACTTCATGTTCCCCCTAGAGACTTTTTTGCAGCTATGGTGAGATCTTGTGGCAGTCTGTTGTGGTTTTTTTTGGGGGAGGTTACATGTTGGCAAGGGGAGCTTCCCAAAGCAGTGAAATGGGACACACACACACACACACACACACACACACACACACACACACCTCTTTCCTCCACTTCTGCGTTTTGGTTAGAGTTCCAAGTTTGGAGGTTTAAGTGATACACTCCCCGACACACTCCAATCAACATCTGTCAGTCAAACTGAGACTTTGAGATTGGGGAACTGATGAGAAGTTCTTCATGACTTTTCTGAATGGAGCCCTCTGTCTTTCAGCACTGTGCTGAGGGCTCTGCTCTGGATTGGGCCCATCTCTCCTAATTGATTATTTCCAGCTTACATTTTTTTTCTCCTTGAGCCACAGTGCTGCAGCCTAAACTCCCATCTCATCTCAGAAGCAGGGTGGGGTTGGAGGCTGATTTTTTTCCCCCCCCCTCTGCTCAAGTTAATCAGTCTTAACTTGAACCTGATTCCTTACAGTGATTTGTGGGGGAACTGCAGCGAACTCTGTCTCTTTTGTCCTCTTCCCTCCTCCCCCCCCCTGGCTTTTTGTTTAAAACTATTTTAGCCCTAAAGAGAGATGCTCTCCTTTTTGTTATGTGTCCTCCCTTCCTCTAGACAATATCCAGCACAGCACAATTATAGAGGCAGCCATATTGGGATTATGATCTGACAGTCTTCCAGGAGCTCTTGTCAGGGATAGGATGGCAGGATGGTAAGAACCGACCTGATGAGTCGCTCAATTAAAATGCTCCCTGGAATTTGTGAGACTTTTGTCACCCCTTGCGTGTTTTTTCACTCCATGCTGTCTGTCTGGTTTGTCGGGGAATTGTATAGGGTGGGGTTTAAGGGGGTAGATTAGCTCTCCCTCTAAGCTGTGTGTTTATGTTTGTGATAGTTCTGGAAGCAGATTTCTTCATTTGAATCTAAAATATTTCAGCTTTCTTCAGCTCCCTCCCTTTTTATTATTTTTCTCTTAGCCTGTGGCCAGGTCTCCTCCCTCAGAGCAGAATCTGTGAATATTTTTCCCCCCCATTTATTGTGTTTCTTTTGTGACTACGGTTACAGAAAGAGGAATGAAAGGTATTTTAAGCCCTTGTCAGATACCTTTAGGAGCCCATTTCCATTAATTTCAGTTGGAGTACCTTTTAATAGACGCACACAAGCGGGCTGTGTCACGCTCTGTTTCCATAGCAGTCTAAGCTTGACGAAAACATGGATTTTGTGATGGATCCCAAACTTGACAGCCTTCATAGACTTGCTATTGCTCCTTTCATTTACACTGAAATATTTAGCAGCCTCACTCAATAGGATGGAAGGGCACTTCTACTGATCAAAGGACCTAAAACTTCTAACAAGCCAACTTCACAAAGGGATGGCTGCCTGCTTTGTTACCGTCATTATCCTGGTGCTGTACGGGGACTCTTTCAAAAGGCAGCCTCCCCCATCTCCTTTCTGCCCCTTTGTTAGTCTTTTACGTATTCAGTGTGTGTGTGTGTGTGTGTGTGAGAGCTGTAAAAACCAGGCTTCCAGGGATCGGCTCCACTTTTGTAGAGCTTCTTTAGGATCCCTGTCTATAAGCCCGAGAGTTCACCTTCTCCATTCGCATGACAGCCTGGCTCGGAGTAACCCCTGGCCTAATCCAGAGAACCACAGGTTATTTTGGGGGCTGATTCTGCTTCAGAAATTGTTCAGGCATTCGGGGGTTGCACGATACTCTGGCTCTTTAAATGTCCCAGTTAAGCAACTTAACACAAATCCAGTCATTTGAATTGCTTTTGACAGGACAGTTGTAATCTGCCATCCGTTAATTCCACCCTCATACGTGCCTTTAGACATGTCTCAAGAGATGCTTTTTTGGTGAAAAGGCAACTAAACTGTTTTTCCTTGAGGAGGGGAGAGGAGGAGGAGGAGGAGGAGGAGGAGGAGGAGGAGGAGGAGAGGTTTCACTTCTCATCTAAGAGGTTTCATCAGTTCTGATGGCGGAGGGATGAAATAGAACTGATGAAGCTTCTTGAATGAGAAGTGAAACATTTTCTCCTTTTTCTTAAGGAAAAAAAACCCAGTCCAGTGGCCTTTTGAAGAAGAAAAATCACCTTTGAGACAACTACGATCTGGATGACTGAGAATCTCCATAGACATTGGCCTTTAGACATGTTTATATTTTATTATCCTTGCTGTGTAACAGGTCTTCGGAATAGAGTGATAGGAACACGGTAATTATATGACTGCTTTAGAGAAAGCTTGCATTCGCCAATGATAGAGATTCTGCAACTGTCACCTGAAATCTCTGGACCCCTATAGTTTTATCAGCTGTGGTTTAGAAACAAAGAAAATGCACATTCCCTTCAAACTGACTTTGGCTCTTTTTGGCGGCACTTGAGCGAGTAGCAACCCAGTGCTTAGACTTCAGGTGCTAAGCTAGAAAGTGTTTTCATTTGGGGATATTTCAACTGTTTTCTGATTATTTAAAGATGGCTGCATTTGTGTGTGGGGTGGAAAAGTGCCTTTTTCATACAATTGAAGAGAAATGTCTTGATCAAAGAAAGAATATTTGGTAAGCTTAGGGCTTAGATCCAAAGACATTTCTTTTTATCTTATTTAGTTTTTTGGGGTGTATTTCTGCGATTCAGTTTCTTGTTCTCTTAATTCACTCCCCTTCCCAGTTTGTTTCCTTGAGAATGACCCTAAACTTGTATTTTCCAACTTGAAATGTTTCTGTAATAAGGGGATTCCTATTCTCTGAATTCTTTCCAAATAATGACCTGATGCTGGAGTTATTTACACTACTCAACGAAAATGAGTTGAATTCACCCCGACAGCATGAAACAGTAAATCCCAACGAAACAGAAGAGCCACTTAACGTCCTCATATGTACAAGGACTCCACAACTGATGGTGTTTTCTTCTCACAACCTAGATCCTTTAGTTGGGATCAGAGGCTGGAGAAGAAACAAACTCCATCTGTTTTACTAACATAGTTACTTTCCGGACAGATGTAAAGTAGTCTTATTCTAGCATAGTGCCCGGAATAAGACTGAAGGAGCAATCTTTATTAGTTGATTGGCTAAAGATGGGGCAAAGTATCTTGAACACAATTGTGTGACAGCTGTGAAATGGTCCAATATTGCCCAAACCGTTTTTCCTAGCAGTGCTACACAGCTTCTGTTAGCCTAAGGCAGGGGTAGGCAACCTGGGCTCTTTTATGACTCGTGGACTTCAACTCCCAGAATTCCTGAGCCAGCCATGCTGAGGGGAAAGGGAGAGTTTCCAAGCTGAGCCATGCTGGCTCAGGAATTCTGGGAGTTGAAGTCCACGAGTCCTAAAAGAGCCAAGGTTGCCTACCCCTGGCCTAAGGACTGCACCAGGCGTTATGTTGCCCGTAGAGAGCCCCATGCCAAAAATGGGTGGAGCCAGATACATTTGGGGCATTTTAAGAGATGGAGGCCTTAAATGGCTGCAAGGCTTAAAGCATTATTTTCTGGGCTTATCTCTCATTAATAGCATCCATAAGTACTCCTGTATGCTGTCTGCATCAAGAGCACGCATATTGAAATGCAGGAACGACAGCAGGTTTCCTGTATACATTCTGGAATATTTGATATCGTCTGGCTCTTTTTCTGGCACGTCCCAAAAAAAAATCTACAATAAATAAGCACCTATAAAAGTCTTCCAGTGGTGTGTTTTGGGGGCCTATTGGGATATGTTTTGCCTTGAAAAAAAGCAACTCAATGTTTATTTTTCACGCCAGGAGTAATGATAGAACTTAAAAGATATCGATCATGCTTGTTAGCTAAAAAGATACTGACCGTATCAGTCAACACAATGAACAAATGAAGCCGGTGCAGGATACTGTATGCTATTTTAAGCCTCTATTTTGCTTTTTATCCGATACCACATCAGCTGTTTTGAAATGCTTTGGGGAGGACATTTTCATTTGCCCACATATATCCATTCTGCTTTCTCTTCCAGCTAAAATGCATTTTTATTTCTGTGAAGAGAGAATGTAATGGTTTAGTTTGATTTTCTGCAGCATCGTTGTCCTCTGCAGAACGTAGACATGTCCAAGGAGAAAGGCTAAAAGATATTGCATAGGCTTTTTGTCTTTTTTTGGTTGTTTTTTTTTAAGAACAAATCTCTAGAGGGTGTGTTGGATTCTTTTATACTTGCCACTTATACCAATTAAATGAACAAGCTGTACAGAAAAGGGTTATCTTTTTAAAGCTTGACTGAGTCATGAGTGATGTCAGTCATCAAAGCTGTGTTTCTCTCTCTCTCTCTCTCTTCTCCCCCCCCCCCCCTCTCTCAGCTTAGTAAAAGAGCAGTGTGAATAATCTCACTGTTTTACATGCCGAGGAAATGTTATTTGTGTATGTGTGTGTATGCATCAAACATGCTTGGTTATAATAAATGGCAGTTTATCTGATATGTATTTGTAAAAAATCACTGCTCTTTTTTTTCTCTTTTAAAAGCTAACACTAGAAGACCCTGTGGAAATCCTTGAAATTTAATTTCTGGAGTGCACCCAAGAGACCATCAAAATGTCAGGAGCTTCTGTAAAAGTAGCTGTTCGGGTCAGACCTTTTAATTCCCGAGAGACCAGCAAAGAGTCCAAATGCATCATCCAAATGCAAGGAAATTCAACCAGTAAGTCGAGCTTAATTTTCTAATAAGAGTGTGGTTTTCCCTTTCCGGGACTCTCAGTAAATTGTTAGTACTGCATATAGATAATGTCACTGACAATTATTCAAACAACAGTTTCTTTTCTTTTCTTTTTTGTGTATGGCAGTCTTGTGTCTTTTTCCTTTTTTTTGTTGCTCTGGAATGATTTATATCTTACCTGGCAGCCTTTTTTCCTCACTGTAACCATCTGGAAAGGAGTGGAAAACAATCACACATGCTTCAGGGACTTCCTTGTCATTAGCAAAGGCAACTTGGCCATCTTGTGCAAGTTCCTTTTTGGATGATGCGTCCACGAGGTATTCTGGGGAACAAGATTTGCTGGCCTGGGCATTTTTGATGCTATTTTGTGCCTTGTAAGCCTAATGTTCAGGATGTCCTTTTCTTTTTTCTTTTTTTTTTGCCATCTGCCAGTTGATGGGACCCTGTAGGTCAGAAATAGGAAACCTGTGTCACTGTAGATATATATAATCTCAGGAAAACTAGAAGAAGTATGTTCCCAACCAATAGCTTAGCCTTCATATTCTTTAAGGATGAACAATCTTTGGGTCTCCAGATGTTTCCAAACGACAACTCACAAGATCTTTGGCCATTTACTATCCTGACTGGAATAATAGAAAATTGTAATTTACCCAGAGGCTGCAGGTTCCTCTGTTTCATTCATATAAAGACCACTAGCGAGGGACAGTCCACTATCCTTGCCGGGAGTTGGTTTTACACTCAAACTGCTTTTAATATCAAGATGTTTCTCCTCGTGTTTCTTAGGATTTAGTCCTATGTCTGGTGTTGCAGAGAGAAAAAAAATCTTTGACCTCTTCAATCTGATAGCACTTAAAGAATGCCCAGCCTGTGTTTTCTCTTCCGTAAGCTTGTAGCTTTTTTCACCAAGTTGTTGTTGTGTTACAAGTGGCTCTTCTTGTTTCCTCCTGCCCTTAATGGTTTGCCAACATTGCTGATTTTGTATCAGACACTTCCTTTTTCATATAAGATTCTAAAGTTGGGGCATGGTCTCTTGAAGGTGAAAATGCGAGGAACAAAGTTTAAAAAGAGAAAGAACAAAGCACACAAAGGACTAAGCCAATTTTTTCTTTAACTGAGAAAAGCTTCCTTTGGATCTTTCTCTCGGATCAAAAATCTGTAGCTTTTTCCTGAATTGTCTGCAGACAGACAAAAGGGGAGCGAAATGGCAGGTGGTCAGACTTATTTGGATCGTTAATAACTGTGGGAAAATAGCCTTGGAGACCTCCTTAAGACTTGCAACCAGAGTCTCTTGAGTATGTTGTGAGGTGGGAAATATGCCAAGAATGTACAGAAAGAGGGCCGTTATGAAAAGCAGGGGTCAGAGATGCAAATGGTGGACAGGAAAACAGGAGAGTTTGCAGGATGTTCGAGCCATCTTCACCGGCTCCGTTTATGGCTTTGAAGGCTTTCTTAAAAGAAAAAGTTGGCGATGTCCTCGCTGAGTGGAATTGGATGGAATGACAGAAATACATGCTTGAAATAATGTTTGGCTAAGAACTTTTTAAATCATTTGTACGTGAATGCTATTGGATTCTTGGATTGCCACATCAGATCCCTATCAGGCCAAGAATGCAGGACGGAAGAGAATCTTAGGGAAAGATTGTCAGGTGATTAGCAAATGGAAGAGCAGATTCTAGAAAGAGTACAGAGAAGAGCAACAAATATGATCAGGGGACTAGAAGCCAAAACATACAAGGAACAGTTGCTGGAATTGGGTATGTCCAGTTTAATGAAGAGAAGGACGAGGGGGGACATGATAGCAGTCTTCCAATATCTCAGGGGCTGCCCCAAAGAAGAGGGAGTCAAGCTATTCTCCAAAGAACCTGAAGGGAGGACAAGAAGCAATGGGTGGAAACTAATCAAGGAGAGAAGCAACCTAGAACTAAGGAGAAATTTCCCGACAGTTAGAACAATTAACCAGTGAAACAACCTGCCTCCAGAAGCGGTGAATGCTCCAACACTGGAAGTCTTTAAGAAGAGACTGGACAGCCATTTGTCTGAAATGGTGTAGGGTTTCCTGCCTGAGCAGGGGGTTGGACTTGATGACCTCCAAGGTCCCTTCCAACTTTTTTATTATTATTATTATTATTATTATTATTATTATTATTATTATTATTATTATTATTATTATTATTATTATTATTATTATTATTATTATTATTATTATTATTATTATTATCTTGAAATTTATAGCAAACATTGATTTGGAGCAGAAAAGAAAGTTGCCTCTTCTGACAAATAACCTTGGATTTAACCAATGATTTTCCTTTGTCCTGTTTGGGGGTGTGGGAAATTTGAAGGGATTCATCCCTACGAAATCTGGTCTCCGATTGATCCCTCATTTGAAACTTGCCGAGGACACCGAGGCACATACCTGCTGTAATCTTTCCCTGCGCGTTGACAGGCGTCTTCCTTTTGTCAGATTTTTGTTATTACAGTGAAATCCTGCAGTCCAGCTGAAATCACATGCTCTGACTGCATTAGGAAGCTGGTATGTTGGCAGCAAGCCTAGCCTGCCCGTGGGGCACTCGGGAGCGGATTGCAGATGTTACGCAGTGGAAGGATGCTGCCCTGGGGATTTTAGAACGGAAGAGGGGGAGTGAGGTGGGGATCGCCTGTAGGAGATAGTCTAGCCGTGGGATTGTAAAACTGATTCTGGAGCTGCCTGTTTACAGGTTTATTCAAGCCACAGTATAAAAAAGATGTGGAGACTCTAGAAAAAAAAAGTGCAGAGAAGAGCAACAAAGATGATTAGGGGACTGGAGGCTAAAACACATAAAGCACAGTTGTAGGAATTGGGTATGTCTAGTTTAATGAAGAGAAGGACGAGGGGAGACATGATAGCAGTCTTCCAGTATTTGAGGGGCTGCCCCAAAGAAGAGGGAGTCAAGCTATTCTCCAAAGCCCCTGAAGGCAGGACAAGAAGCAACGGATGGAAACTCATCAAGGAGAGAAGCAACCTGGAATTAAGAAGGAATTTCCTGACAGCGAGAACAATCAACCAGTGGAACGACTTGCCTCCAGAAGTTTGTGGGTGTTCCATCCCTGGAGGTTTTTAAGAAGAGGCTGGACAACCATTTGTCTGAAACGGTATAGGGTTTCCTGCCTGAGCAAGGGGTTGGACTAGAAGACCTCCAAAGGTCCCTTCCAACTCCCAACAAATCATTCTGTTCATTCTGTTAAGTGGCGTTTTTCCCCCTTAAATTCACACTTCTACCTCCTGAAACATGAACAACTCAAGGAAAGCAAATAGAGCCATATCTGAGGACAATTTCCAGTTGCGTCAATGGGACAGGATGCTCTTCAGAGCGACTTGCTGTAGCCTGTGCAAAGTCTGCAGAATTGTCTGCTTGACTTTTCTTTTTTGCTTCTGAGTTGTGAGTCCAGCTTGGATTAAACCAATTTGCCAAGCAGGATTGCACCAAATCAGCACAGGGTGAGAGGGTTTCCCCCCCTCTCGATTTCTGAAGGTGGTTCTTTGTTGCACTGAACTATAATTTGATGCTATGTTTGAACCAACACTTCTGTAGCGACTCCCTTCACCAATGCGCATAGGTTGATGGATCTTTTTTTGTCTTCAGCCAGTATGTAGTTTCCCCAGTTGCGACTAACCCTTCCTTGTCTCTGCCCTTCTTGTTCAGTTAGGATCTAGAGCAGGGGGTCTTCAAACCTGGCCCTTTGATGACTTGTGGACTTCGACTCCCAGAATTCCTCAGCCAGCGTGCCTGGCTGAGGAATTCTGGGAGTCGAAGTCCACAAGTCACCAAAGGGCCAAGTTTGAAGACTCCTGCTCTAGAGATACTTTTTGTTCTGCTCTTAAAGGCAGAAGACTCTGTACCTTCCATCTGATGTCACCTCCACCTTTTTTCCGGTCAATTTCTTCCATTAGGAAGAGGATTGGATCCTCTTTGAAAAGCAATATAGAAGAGAGCTCTGGAATACAGGCTCCTTTTATGACATCATTCTGGTGAATCAGCTCCC